GCCGAAAGAAGGCTTATGTTTGCTCTGCAAAAAATCAGAACTTAATCACAAATAACGTAAGAATTTTGCTTGGGTTGACAAAGATCTGCAGTTGGCAGTGGTTTCTATTTAATATCACTTAGTGAATTTCACTAAGAGCCGAAAAATGTTTGCTAACATATGCAGGATCAAATTATTCTTGGCCACTTGTAAGTCTTAAACGTGTTGAACACAAATCCTAAGGATTAAAACTGTAAATGACCTCATTATTTTCTGGAAAGCCATAGGAAAAGAGGGAAATGCTCAAGGAATATGCGGCGAAAGCTCATAAACTTTACGACAAAGGATTTTGGTACAGGAAATAGAGATGAAGAGTTATGGAATACTGTTGCGCTCATCCTATTGCGATATCGCTAGCAAACGTTTTTACAACGTTTTTCAACTTATTTTTTAAAAATATTTCTCATCAGTTCCCAATATCTATCCCCAATGGCTTAATGCCTCACCCTAGTTATGAGCTTATCCTCCTTCCATGGTCATTCAGACCAAGTTGTCCTTTCCGGGTTCAAATCTCCGCTATGCAAAATAAGGTAAGCTGATTGCGGAAACCAAATACAGTAGAAGAAATGTCATTGCTTCAAAAGTTTGATGTTCTTTGTCACCTTCGAAGTTTCGTGCGCTACGGAAAGCTTAATGATCTCCGCCAAACAACTCAATGTTGAACGGGAATATAGCAAATTTTCCCTTTAGGATATCACCGCTGATGTTTTTAAACAGCATACATTTACTTCCATAAAAACACAATACAATACAACGCTAGCTCGTCTCGTCAACCACATGCGACTATAATCAGCTGTTCTAAACTTCCTCATTGGAAGTCACGAAAAAGCGGCTCTGAAGAAGGCGATACTGCCGAAACGTCAGCTAGCGTTGTATTGTATTGTGTTTTTATGGAAGTAAATGTATGCTGTTTAAAAACCTCGCGATTGCTGAACAAGAAAACGACATATTCATATTCCAATACCGAGGTTAAGAGAAAGTCGATCCTGGGAACTATCACCGCTGATGTCCAAAGAGAGATTTCACATCTTAAATAAAGTTCCGAAATAAAAAAACTCGTGTAAGTAGAACAATCCTAACAAATGTATACCAATAGTGATCTTTATCACTCTTTCCTTACGATAAGTGAACAAGTCAAGAGAATGCAGCCAACACAACTAAGCTATAAAATTCAGAAACTGATTTTCCCAAAAGCCAACTTTTCCTTAATCTCGGCGTGACTAATCACAATGTGTTCTTTCATTGAAAAGCTAAAACGAGTTTGAAAAAAAAGGTGCTCTAAACTACTGTCCTACTACCATACGTGGTTCATGAACCTTCTGTTAGCTTAACAATGGAAGAATACGTATTTATTTTTCCTTTAAAAATCGTAAAAAAAATTCTGTAGAGCGTAAATACAGCTTGACATCAGTTTTTCACGTGTGTTTGTTCTACTTTCATGAGTCAGGATTTCATTTTCATCCTTGCCCATCTCCTACACTAACGACTCCTTTTGGAAAAAAAGTGTGCTTCAGTATATCCTACAGGAATTTAGTTTGATTCCTCTCCTTCAGTTGCTCATCGTGAGCGTTTCAGCTCAAAATTTAACTTCACTCCATTCCGCTGATGTCAGAGTTAGAAAAATTCACAGGTGCTTAATGAACAGACTATGGAAGACTATCACATAGCTAGGCCATGCTTGTGCTCTCTCGATCTTTCCGCACCGTGGAAGCTCCTCGCTGAAGAGCTTTCTTTGCAAAATGGTATAGTAGTACTTTCAGAGAGTGAGATAAAATCCAGAGAATCTACTTTCTTCGACATTGATTGCCAATCTACCTATAGAGGGATGCCAAACCTTTTAACACTTTCTCCATCAATGACCGTTGCATTATAAGGTCACCGTGCTTTATTTCAGCTTGTATTTCAGCTTGCCACTATTTTACTTATTAATTTTACTGCGCACTTTTGGAATTTTTGGTGAGGTAAACAAAAACAAATTCTCTACCTTACTTCTGCAAAATTGAACCTAACTGTGACCCAAGTAACCAACCTGGTGCATTGATAAGCTAACAAGAGGAGAGTCCATATTGTTAGAAACTGCTATGGACAGAGACGAAAGCGCCGAAACAGTAGTCGATTTAGGCCAGTAGAAGAGGATGTTGCCTTTGATGTATCTTTAAAAAACAGCAAGTGGCATCGAAAGTGATGCAAGAAAAACGCAGTGTGATGCAATATGAAAGTCTATCAGCCCTCCTGCTGCGACTCATCCTAGTGGCTTTTAGAGAATGTCCCTGGTGTCCAATTAAGTCCCCTCTATCAAAGCGTATTTTTCGTTCTTACTTTCTTTCTTTAACTTCTCTAATTGTTCACTGGAAATCTAAATTTATCGCGTCCAATCTAATCGCATCTAGGACACTCATGTTTGTCTGTGCTCGCCCTCCGGCCTTCTACTTAAATGGATGATTTCGCAATCACTCTCTTTTTGCAATTATTTCCTTCATTTCCTAGCAGAGTAATAATTACTAATGTTGATGCTGAACGTTCTAATATCAACATAAAGTAAACTGCAAATATGAAATGGCCTTATTCAATGAATTAACCTAAAGTCGTTATGAAGCAATATTTACGATAAAAGGAGCGTGTGTAGCGCAGTAGTTAGTGGTGCCCTGCAACACATACGTAGTTTTGTTTGATCCAGCGCTACGGGCCGACCAAGCCTTCTATTCCTCCGTGATCGAGAAATAGTGGCCGGAGATGGTACCAGACTGGTCCAGGAGGGTAAAAACAATGAACTCACATATCAATTAGCTGCCGTAAATCATTGCGTAGAGAAGACGTGCACTCAATAACCTCTGACGATGCTTAATGACACCGAATCCATGGGGTATCCCTAGGAAATCATCAAAGCCAAAAGCATCACTCTTCTTGCCTTATTTATAATGAAATAACCAAAATCACTGTAGGACTGTTATATTCGATGACGACTTTCCTAAATGTACCTGATTTTGAATGTGTCGTTTTCTTGTTCAGCAATCGCGAGGTTTTTAAACAGCATANATTTACTTCCATAAAAACACAATACAATACAACGCTAGCTGACGTTTCGGCAGTATCGCCTTCTTCAGAGCCTGGAAGGGTATACTGATATACAATCTACTAGGCCAAACGCTTCAATAACACTTACAAGTAGTTTTTATGGAAGTAAATGTATGCTGTTTAAAAACCTCGCGATTGCTGAACAAGAAAACGACACATTCATATTCCAATGCCGAGGTTAAGAGAAAGTCGATCCTGGGAACTGTACCTGATTTGTCCAGTTATTGACAAGTAGCATAATTCAATTTTTAGATATTCACCTTATAAATGTATCCGCCCCTACATAAATGCTTCAATGAGATTAATGAAACTTTCCTGTTCTTGGAAATATGTTTTCCAGCACCTTCAAACAAAATTCGCGGGCCCCGTCTCATAGAACGCAGATAGGTTGGGAGAAGTTCGATAACGGAGAGTTGCCGCTATTCCGCCAGGGCGTGTTAATTCGACCACCAGCATTCGAGGATCAATAAATAGCCACTGGGCGCAGTGGACGAATCGCTAATGAGGTTAAATAGCGAGTGTGACCGGATCTCATAGGAGTGAATATCATAGATCTCATAAGTGTAGTCCAGAGAATGTATAATAAGAAGCAAATGAGCGAGTGAATGGGTGATCTGCTGCTCCCCACCCAACCACCACCCTTTCAGATCACAGTATATATCAAAACTAATGTTTTATTGAAGGATACGGGTAGTGCAGTGACACTGATGTTGTCCAATGCCTCCACAATGCTGAATTAATGCCAGCTTAGGTCACCAAGACTCCCTTCCTTTCTTACTAGGTGCCTAAACGTTAGCGCAAGGACAATAACCTTGTTTAGGCTATTAATACAACAAGACAGTCACCATTTTTGGCAAGGTTCAGTGAAAGTCAACCCATAAAAGCATATCAAAACTTTCCTTGCGACCAAGCGAACTCGAATACATTTTCAAATACTGAGAATTCCCACGAGATTTTAGAGTACGTGGAATCAAATGACGTGTCCTGAATGGTCATTACACTTCATAGGTTACCTGTTCGAGTTCTGCTATCATTTGTGATATTCGGATAGCGGATTTTTGATCAAATTACTTATTTCTTCATAAACACAGAAGTTGCCATGAAGGTGTTGAATCTTTCAAAATTGAAATCTAATGAAGATATACTTTTTCTGAGTAAATGAATCGAAAATGGCTCCATCACATGAGTGAGAACTGCCGTAATCTTATTTTAAACTGGGAAACTGAATCAAAACATAAACTCTCGTTCCATATTTGATAGGCAAACGAACCTATTTAAGTTGTTCTGTGCGAGAGATGACCAGTGCACAACATGATTGGGCCGGCGCTCGTCGCACAGTGGTTGGAGGCGCCCTGTGAAACACACGGGATCGTCCCCGCGCCCGTGGCTCACCAAGAATTCCATCCGCCAGGAGTCGGAAAATTGGTACCTGGCTAGGAAGGTAGCAGCACTGGCTCGATACATCGGTACGTCACCGCAAGTCATTGTAAAGGCCAGATATGCATTTAATCACCTCCAACGATGCTTAATGAAATTGAATGCATGGTGTATCGCTCTGTGATTGGTCAACGCCGAGAACTTTAGCTTTTTAATGTAGTCGCGCCATATGATATTTATTGAGAGAAATGTACTTTGGTAAAGTAAGCGGCCAATATATGGACCTAAAAATAAACGGAAAAAATTGCAATAAAAAAGAATATAATCTGACTTGAATTGAACTGTTCAGCTTGAAATCGTAGGATATACAAAAAACAAAAAAAAACCAGGAAGAAGTGAAAGGCGATTGTTTTCCATCTGTTGGGTGTAACACAATCAGTGAGGTGAAAGGGAAAGCGAAATCTTTGAATAATGAAAGAATTCACAGCAGTGTTATGAAATTCACTTCTTCATTTAAAACTAAAGAAACACTCTTTTGTGCCAAGAAAAAAATCTGCGCTATCGCAAGTTTCATCGAAATGATGACAGACTGATTATTTCGGAATATGTTGAACACGTCTAATCATCTCAAACGAAGTGGGAACCAAGCCAGTCTCCCATTATCAAATGCCGGAAAATTTTCTAAATTAAACGAAATTAAAAACTGTTCGTTTTTGTGATAATATCTGATTCCCAAGGAATATCTATGCACAAAATTGATGATGTTCCTCGGCAGGTGGAGCACAGTTGATAAATTCTTTCAAAGGTCCGGTAAAGTGTATAGATTTGGTAGCACAGTTTTTGTTAAAGAAGTCATCTACAGTCGTCTTTGTTTGAAGAACTGATGTATTAAAGACGGGATAGCTGAGTTCTAGATATAATCAAGTACGTCGAGCCATATCCGATTTGGCCAATAGTAATTCTGTTCGAGCGCCCATTAAAAGCATTCCATAATAATTCACTTCGACAATTTCGTTAACAACAAAGAAAGAAAGCAGGAACAACCGGAGACGTGGGAATGGTGAGCAATTCTGGATGGATGAGAGTCGAGTGTAATGCTCCGAGAGCAGAGTGCGGGAGATTGGAGCGAAAAATATAAAGCCATTGAAAAACGAGGAATCTCAGATTTCCTCTCAAAAAGTTGACAAACGTGAAACTAATTCATCGACTAGGTTATACGAAATAGATAAAGAGAAATCGAAGAGAGGACAAGATGTCAAAGAGTTAAGCTCACTTGTAATTCACAGCCTGTTTGGTGTATTCGAAGATGTCGTGACATTGACAAGTAGAATAACACTTGGCTTCTGCTTGGAACAATAAAGGATTTCTTGTTGAATGTGTCCACAATCTCTTCCTCGATGTCGGTTTCATCTTGTTCACGAGATGGGCACGGCTAGAAATGGTCCAAGCATTTTTGCTTCTTATTATTTATTAATTATCCAGCTCTTGTTTGCATTGTTGCATGTAGCCTACCGAGGACCTTCCAGCTTCTAATGGATTTAACAAGACCACATTAAGGCATTCTGTATTTATAGGTCTCAATAAATAAATTCCACTAACTTCCGATGGTTGGGCTTTTAGTGGAGGGAGGATGAAATCGACCAAATCCTCATAAACCATGTATATTCTAATATTTCCGCACTTTTTTGTCACAAGACTCAGTGCTCGAAATTGTCATCGACATGAAAACATTGTAGTTCTCTCCGAGAAAATTACTTTATTTCAAGAAATGCAGAGCAAACTCTACTAGTATAATGGGGTGCTAAGACATTTACAAAACTCCGGAACGCAGGTGTCTGCGGTGGGGAACGAGCGCGCTGTAACTCTTTCCTGGGGCTCGCGCGTTCACCACCACACCATGCAGGTTCTTCGCTTCGCCTGTCTCTACTATAATACCTAAAATAGTTGCATAACCGACATAGCCGTCAAAAAATCAAGCACATCCATGGAAAAAAGACGCTAGGCAGGTGACTCGATGGCAGTAGTTTTTGCCAACTCATGATGTATAAATGTCTTTGAAATGGAAGGCATTCATACTTGTATAACTGACGAGCTTTCAACGTTGCCAGTGTGTTCGTCGATTGTTTCACGGTATTCTGTTGGCGGTGGAGGATAAGCACATCTCGGTGTATCTTCAAACCTTAAACCAAAGCCTTTGTAGTGTATAAATTTTATTTTAATCACATCGAAAACTGAGTGCAGGGCATCTTACGGATTCTCGCCATTAGTCTTTCTTCTGTCGTCGTTGAGGGCAATTTTCCAACACCAAATGGACCAAGAAATCATTTAAATTAATCTTTTTTTCATTTTTTAAATCATTTTTTTAATCATTTGCCATTCCGGAGCAAATACCTTTTCTCTCTTATTATTAAAGATTACTAATACCTGTTAATAAGCTTAGAATAACAACTGCGTTAACTAAAACTCTAGTGCTCAAGTTGAAAGCAAATTCAAGGATTTTATGAGGAACGTGCTGGATTTGATTCGAAAGCAAGAGTCTCTCTGTTGATGGAGATTTATTCTATTTAGGTAGTACTCTATGAAAACTTAAAGGTAGGTTAAGGTCAGTTAGGAAACAAAGCCGATGCGATGGCCCCTTTCGGCTAATACGGTTGCCATTTGGCTTCTCTTGAAAGAAAGTCATTACTGCTGAAGCACACAGAAGCTGCAGTTCTCAAGAGTGATAGTTAGCAAGACATGAACTGCTAACGGTTTCAGAACGGATTTGTTGCCAATTGACTACCGATTTTCCCCATACTTAACGTAAACAGCCCAGTTACCCACCTAATGAACCATTTACCTTCCTACCTAGATTGCAGAGAACATGCGAAAGCTCAGTTACAACAGCTATTCATTATTTAAAGAGCTACGGACCGAGGAGATCATCTTGGATGGAATATGAGTGATAACTACAGTAATAATAAAAGTAGGTAAGAGTAATTGAAATAAAAGCAATTACAGCATTAGTGAATACAATGAAAATGCCAAATGAATAAAGGAAAAAAAGACGAAAAATTTTGTAAAACGTTTCATTTAACCCTAACTGTATTGTGCTTCTTCTTACTTTATACAAGACAGGGATTAAAGTCATTTCGTGTCATTTCGCTAAGGAATGAGAATTAGAATTGCCCTCATAAAATCCCAAATGTTTGTTTCTGCAGAAAACAGAGAAAGCTGAGGTCGTCAATGGACTAGAATTAAATTTTGAAAAAGAGATATCGGAATAAAATAATCCTACTCAGTAATCTATTCCTCCAGATCCTGTGGGTCGAAAAGATTTAGAAAAAATCCAGTTATTCATAGAACTGAAGGCAAAATAATGGCCAACGAGAGCGCCAGAAGTTGCAGCGCTAATCCAACGTAGACTAACAGCACAAGTGTGCAGAACTTCAATAGTACTGACGTATACGGATAGGGTAGCAGACAGTTCATTGATTTATGTTGAAAATGAAACGATATAAGCACTCTTCTTTAAAAACACTGAGTGTGCTCAAAGAGATCCCTCTAAGAATAACCCCAATAGTCTCAGGTTATGTCAATGAGGAATGATCAGCACTATCTCAATTAGAGGCAAACACTGTATTATTCTAAGAAAGAACAGCTAAATTCGAATAACCTGTCTTGTTCACTCTTGTTCATCCACATAACTCATTCTTGCCATCGGTCCAATAAAAATAAATCATCGTTCTTATATGAACGGGACCTTGGAAAATTATTGGCTGCTGTTGGAAGAATGGTCTGTCATTCAACGAAAGAGAGGAAATACGTATACACTTTTTGAAAAGATGTCGGTAAGGGTTTATTACTAGAGTATCCTTAGAACTCAAATAAAACCACACAGTATTTATTGGGTATTGCGAAAAGTTGTCTCTCCAGGAGTCTCCATTCATCTCTTCTCATGGACAAAGTTCTCACTTCTTCATTTGGACTGAACTCACAACGTTTTCCTAAGCCTCAACTTTTCGTCTATACTGTGGTTCTGCTTGATAACTTCTCATTCAAATCCCAAGAATCATTCCCATTTTCTAAGTCATTCCCAAAAATTGGGACTTATTTGAGAAAAGAAGGTGACATAAAGTGAAATATATCTCTAAATGTTAGTAATAAGACGAAGAACAAGATATAGTTACTTGATATAGTTACTAGTCCTTTCCACTATTCGATATTGTAAATGCTGGTTCTGAATGGGCGGATTTTGTGCGGTAAGCAGTTTAGAGAAATGAAAGTGGGTACCTTCGTGAATCGGTGTAATGCTGTCCCTTATTCGCTGCTATGGGTCCTGAAACGATGTCACCATTTATACCATCGGAAGACGTCGACGGAGCCATCAATGGCCTCCTTAAAGCACCAACTTATTTACATTATTTATTCATAAACAAAGAGTAGAACGAATGTTTTCTCAGTGCTTCTAAGCGGGAGCTATTGGTATCACTCCATAAAATTTGCTGTGATTTTCAATATATGTCATTGAGCCCAGAAGCACCGTTTTTAGTGTGTCATTTTTTCTCGTACTGAAAAACTCCTCCCTATTATTCCACTCTCATTTAGAATAATGCTAAGCTTGGGTTGATTCCTCTTAAGAAGTTTCACACTCTGATGCTGGGGATGTCTAGTTTAAAACAGTTTCACGAGGCATGTCAGATTTTCCTAGTATTTCAACGAGACTTTGAAATTCTATCGAAAACATCTGTGTCGTGAAAACCAGTGCGGGTTTAAATTTGAAACGAATTAGAGGCCCAGTTAGCTTAGGAACGAAATGTTACATTTGATCGTTGCCAAGAGACGAAATAATGAGTTTGTTATGAAATCACTGTTACTGAAATAACGCTTAACAACATCATAATATTGAAGAAGAGCTGACCAAATATGTACTGCTCATTGAACAGTTAAAAGAAGATTCTCTGTAAACAGAAGAGCAGAACAACAAGCTGTGTTGGGAAAGACGAGAGGAGAAAATGGAACTTGAGCGAAGGTCCGCCCAACTTGAGATGACAAGGTGAGCATTCATCAACCCATTGCTCTTTGAGCGCAGGAGAGTAACCATGTCAGGCTCCAAATCGAATACAATAAGAGGCTGATTTTCTCGACCATTGACACCTCTCTACATGTAATTCCGTCCATACAATCTCTCTCCTCGTATTTTCTTAAAAATTTCTCGCATTCTAGCGATACTACTAAAAGTGGGAACTAATTGTTCGGAAAGGTGACGAAGAACGATGTATTACGGAAAGTTGGCGGCCTAAAGTTGGAATTTTTGACCGGCTCTCGCTGAAAACAATAACATTCCATAAGAATTAGGTTAAAGGGTAACACTGCTTTATGATGATAAAGTGAATAAGAAGTGAGGATTTTAGTTAAAGATTTATGTTGGTAATGGGTAATAACGTTTATCTGATGTGATTTTGTTCGTATTTTTTTTGATTTTTTTTCGTCTACGTACTGCGCAGCCCAACAGCGCGTGCGTGATGGAGTCCTTCGACGTTACCGCCCTTTATACAAACGTGTCG